GGGTTAATTGGGCTATCCGTAGGATTTGATTATTGCAAGAAAATTTAGAATTAGCCCAATTCACCCCCCCCCCTCTTGGGCATCTTGATCCTTTCATGTATATGTTTGCTTGTATGTCTATGCGCCCGAAGTTTGCCATGATGGAAGAGAAGTCATCGGTGGATCTCGAAGACCCAGAGTTCGAGTTATTATGCGTTTCTAAGCCTAAGGCAAGTGTCCTTGACCATCTTGCTCCTACATTTGTTTTACTTTGAGTTAGTGTAGTTAGACCATTAGTTGCATGCTGAGTCATAATTTGAATCCTATGTTAGGGTTTACTAGAACTTGATGTTATCATCCTTGTAACCTGGGTTGGTTGGGTAGCTGTCTTGCTTAGCTTGCAGTCTTGGGTTGGAAATGTTATCATTTAATATTGATTAATGATTTATGCAACTTGGGTTGGTAATGTTTATAGCAACATGGTGAATAGGAATCCGACAGGATGGTTGGTTTTGGTGGAGGTGTGTGCCAGATTTTGGGTAAATGTTTTTTGGTGGATTGTTGGAATTGGTGGAATGGATTGTGCTCGTTCTTGCTTGGATTCTAAGGACCGGTTCATGGATAAGTAACCCGGCTTAACAGCGCAACCTCGAGGGCTATATGGCTCTGACCCTGGCCAAGTAATTAGTTTCCTCCAAGTTATGCTACATCGGATCGGTTTGTGTGGCACAAGAGGGGGCTTCTGCAATGGTGTTGGTACCCACTGTTAGCGGTTAGAAACCTTAGTGAAGGTGTAAAATAGATTTGGAGGGACTTTGTAAAGGCCTTGTAGTGTGACCCCGTTGAGCACCTAGGTAGTGTGAAGCGTGATGGAGAAACATGACTCGTGGTGAAAGTGTGCAACCTCTGCAGAGTAAAACTGATATATCAGCCGTGCTCACGGTCAAGAGCGGCCTGGACTTCTTCTTGATTAGATGGCTCTAGTTCAGTTGAGAGGCTTGGATAGAATCCAAGTGTTGGTTTGCTTGGATGGGATCCAGGTGTGGTGCTCGGATGGGATTCGAGTGTTGGTTGCAGTGGTTCTCCGAGGTGAAGGAAGATCTCACCTAGTTAAATAGGTGCTTAAGGTTTAAGGTAATAGGTGTGTTGCTTAAGGGCTTGTGTTAAACCCTGTTAGCCTTTCCTTATGTTGGCCCGTATGTCATACTTTTCTACACTTACGGAGTATATTTTGATATGCTCACCCTTCTCTTTGTCCCCCTTTGTTACCACACCCAGCGGTTCAGACTAGAGGATAGAGTTTCTAGAAGATGGTGTTTCGTGAAGACGGTGTTGATGCTAGGCTGGTGTACCTCCGGTCAGTTGTCTGAAGGGATGGAGACCTTGCTCTGCTGGAACTCTGATGTAATTTTGTGTTTAGACCCTCTGGTCATTTTTTATATATGTAATCGCTTTTGTAATAAACACTGCAATGTATCATTTTGTTGTCGCATGTATAAATAAATAGATCCTGACATACATGTGATGTGCACTCGATTTTATCTTTAAAATTAGGTGTGACATTCCATAGAGACTTGAGATCCTATCCCTCTCTCACCTGTTTATAACTACTACTACAACAAGTGTCGATAATACGAGCAGCAACAAACTGAATGCATGGACGTTCCGTCCAAACTAGCATAAACCCTTGTTATACGAGTATACGATTCAAGTCAGACATACTAATCCGCTATGCTGTATACCTAAGGCTGGGCAAAAATAACCGAGAACCGAGAACCGAACCGAAAGAACCGGAACCGAAACCGAAAGAACCGGAACCGAAAATTTCGGTTCCTTATTCGGTTCTTGATATTGAAGAACCGAAATAACCGAAGAAAATTCGGTTCCTACTCTCGGTTAACCGAATTAACCGAAAGAACCGAATTACATGAATTATACTTCACTTACTTGTATTTTGTAGGATTATGTGTAGTGTTTTATATTTGAGCTGTTATATATTTGTGTTACTATATTGCTATTGTTTTCTTATATATTATTATTATTAAAAATGAATATAGTGTTGCATAAATTTGTCTTAGAATAAGTATATTTATTATTGTCTTGAGGTCTTCTGAAAAAATTCGGTTAGTTCAGTTAGAACCGAAATCGAACCGAAATAACCGAGAACCGAAATGCTCGGTTCCTAAAAATTTTTGGAACCGATCGGTTCCCGTTTTCTAGGAACCAAATTTATTCGATAACCAAAGGAACCGAACCGAAACCGAACCGAGAACCGAACGCCCACCCTGTATACCCATAGACCCAACGCAGACATGGCTCTGACACAGGCCTGCCCAGCCCAGCATCGGGAACCCCAAAAAAACAATAAACAAACTGATTCTACTGTGAATCCGCAGTAAAAATAAACACAAAAAAATGATAGTAACAAGCGACAGGAAAAGGGGAGCGGGAACGAGGATCAAGCGAATGCTTGGTGCCAGCAATGGAGCACAGCAGAGGCATCTCTCGTTCCCTCTCGACAGCCAGCCAGGCAGCAGCCTCTGCCCTCTGGACTCATCATAACAAACACCTCGAAACCAAATCGAAATCAGAAGGCCAAGAACAAACGGTGATCGAATAGCAGCCAGAAAGAAGGCGGAGGACCGTGGTGTACCCCGGAACCGAAGTCAGCCTTGTGAATCCAACGAGAGGGTCGGGAGGAGGAAGGCGTGGTTGCTGCCTGGCTTGCTGCTTCCCCAGCACTCAAATTCTCAATATACTAGAAAAACTCGGCGTGCGAGCACAGGAGGGGGGAGAAGCTTTATATGTGTATAGAGAAAGATGAATGAATTGAAATGTTGCAGTGTAGGAAGCCTTCAGCAGTGAGCGGCGTTAGCTAGAAGTCAGAATTGTCATTGAGGTGGCACAATGAAAATGGAGACACGGAGAAATGAGGGAGAAAAGCAGGATATATATAGTTGATGATACAATAGGCCCATTCGGCTTACACAGAAACCGGTTTATTCGGAATTTTTTTTCTCACAACAATTCAGTCAGAACAATATTTTTTAATTAGTTTTAACCAAGTTCAGCGAGCCGAACGGGGCAGGAATAGATGACATGATCACACGAACTCATATGTGCGCCTTTTTATCATATTGAAATGTGCAGAGCTCGGGTGGAAGCACAGCGAGGAGCCTCCTCGCCCACGCGACGCCTTGAGAAATCCGCTGCTAACATAACATGGACGACGCGGTCACGCAGGCTCTTTGGTGGCGACCCCTCGCTGCCCTTTGGAGATTCCTGCGCGAAGCATGTGTCCCGATCGAGTTGCGAAAAGCGCGACCGACGCGCGCGGCCATAACTGCGGAATCACTCCACTCCACTGCATCTGGATGGAGCAAGCAGCCTGGGTCCAGAAATCACTCGCCCCCCATCCTCCTCCCTTCCATAATTGTGCAATCAGGAGACGCCGTGCTGTGCTACTGTCCCAATAATTTACCATGGACACGACACCGGGCCTTTGGGTGTGTATAGGTGAGCCAAAATTTGTAGGTGTCATATCGAATATGTCGGAAGGACGTCGGGAGAGGTTTTTGATACTAATAAAAAAATAAATTACAGAACCCATCAAGAAACTACGAGACGAATCTAACGATACTAATTAATCGGTCATTAGCACATGTGGGTTACTGTAGCACTTAAGACTTTTTATGGACTAATTAGACTTAAAAGATTTGTCTCGCGATTTTACTGAGAACTGTATAATTAATTTTTTTTTGTATTTAGTACTTCACGCATGTGACAAACATGCTCTTTTACTGTAAAATTTTTTGGAAACAGGCCTTTGTTCGTGTTCGGTGTTCCCGTGCCCACTCCGGGCCTCCTGCCAGCACACGGACTACTGGTGCGCTCCACTCCGATGGGACTGTTCAGCAGGAAAACACGCACCGTCGCGTCGCGTCCACTGCCCACAGCGGACATCGCTGCCGCGGGCGCCCATACCGTCGGACGGCCGGACGCCTGTCGTGACCCTGACCATAGCGGCATAGCCGCATAGCATAGCCTCTGCGTGCCGTGCGGTTAGGCTGGGCATCACGCCGCATCTCCCCCTACGGACGGCACCCCCGGTGGCGGCTCCCTCTCTCCCTAACCGGCGGCGCACCGGCCAGCCTCCATCGCCTCCACCGCCTCCTCTTTGTTTCGAAGGTACGCTTTTTTCCCACTTCGATTAAGAGCCTTCGATTGAACTTCGATTTCCTAGCAGTGATGTCGTCACCTTAGCCTAGGGTTAGGTCTACTTCCTTCCTCGCTTGCTGTCGAGGGTTTCCCTTGAGCATGTGGGCTCCACTTCATCTAATTGCTCAGTTCATCTAATTGCTGTTGAATTCATGCATCTGTGGATCGATTCTGTTCTCATAGACCTGATCTAGCGCCTGCCCTATCGCTGCAACAACCAGGAGGACAATCGGCTTGCCTACATATTTTGCTGCTACCTGTTCAGTTTCTGTTTTTTTTTTTGTGTGCCCGCTGTTTTTATGGGCGACGTGCCTCGTCGCTACCCGCGAGGAGGCAATTTGGGGAGACGTGGCTCGCTGTGGCAATTTCGGGTGAGAATCGGCATGCCTACATATTTTGCTGCTACCTGTTTAGTTGCTATGTTTTTCCGACTACGACGCTTTAAGGTCCGTCTGCCTCTCATTATAATAGATTTTGATTATTTCAAATTGGTGTGCAGGGCCATGTGGTGGATAGAAGCTATATATATGGAACCTCATAGGCTAATAATCTATGCTTTCATTGCCCTGTAAGGACATCATGCAGGTAATGATATATTGAGGTTTGGTACGGCTGGACCAAACAATTGAGTGGATGTTGGTTCTCGTGACCGTGTTTAAATCCCTCCTGATAACATTCTAGAATTTCTTGATGGTTTGCCCTACTTAGATGTAGGTTGCCGTTGGCACCAATCATATGTGCATCGGTGCTGGTGTTGTTGAATTGGCAGTCAATGAACTACGATGCAAGATATGGCAGGACCTATGGCGATTGCCCAAGATGAGCATATCCTTGATGATGGATATAAAAGTATGCTTGCTGATGGATTCGTTTCTGAATTTGATTTCTTAGACGATAAGGTGGATGCAGGAATGGGCTGTACCACACCGTCTTTTGATGAGAAGATTACATACGCCTCCAAAAGAAGCTGATTTTTTTTTTACTAGGTGGTAAATTTACATACTGTGATGTCGGATGGCTACTGAAATGGAAGTATCTGGGCTATGAACATGCTACATGGGATCTTGAGTCTTCATCTTCAAAAGTAGACAAGGTATGCCATGGAAAACATTTATTTGTGTTAGCTAGCACACTGCAACTTCATTCGACAAGGAAGTCATAATGGTCCATACATTTTCACCATTTTCAAGCAAGCTTGTTTTTAATACAGTTGTCTGGTAACGTTGCTTTGCTAGGCTACCTCACGTAAATATTAAGCTCTGTTAGTTCCAAGCAAGTTTTTTCTTTCTGTTGTCTACAGGTTAGTCCATTTGAACCATAGACTCAGATTGACCCGTGGGATTTCCTGTCAAATCCGATACATTGTTACATTCCGAACATGTCCTAGATTGCTTAAAGATTTCACAATTTTCAGCAATGATACTATCCATGTGCTATAAAGGTAAAGGGGGGCACATTTAAGTAACTCCAGAGACTGTCAGATGGTTGTCCTCCTCGTTTAAATGATCACCATTCGAGATTACTTAACCAGTTTCATAGGTTCTGCCGCAATTCTCGTGCTGCTGTTTTCATCGACGATCAGGTAAAATTGAACTATCTAAATATTTTAGTCACCATGCATGAAAAGAGTATATTGACATGTTTTATTGCCACCTTTCCTGTGAAATCTCTGTTATATTGTCACATTCAAGCATGCCCTCGATTCCCTAAAGATTTCACAATTTTCAGTAATGGTAAACTATCCATGTGCTATACAGGTTAAGTGGGGCATATTTCAGAAACTCCAGGAACTGCCAGATGGCTGTCCTCCTGGCTTAGATGATGATCATTTGAGATTGCTTAACCAGCTTCGTGAGTTCTGGTACAATTCTCGTGGTGCACTTCTCATCGAAGATCAGGTAGGATAGAACTATAAAAATATTTTAGTCATCATTCATGAAAAAAGTATATTGCCGTGTTATGTAGGTAACTCATTTACAGAGATAGGCATAACACGGAAAAAGTATATCAAGACCACAATCGGTTATGTAGGTAATTTCTCATCCCCTTGTTTTTGTATCTAATCATTCTACATGTGTTCTATTTGCTCTTATTGCACATTGATTTGGTTTTTTGGTCCCTGTGCGACAGTTGTGGTGGCGTATTCTGCGTGTCCTTTGGTCATCAACGGGGGTTCTTGCCTGCTCTGGTTGGCTGCTGTTCGGGTAACTTTGTTTTCTCTTGCTCTTAGTTTCCAAAGCTTAGTCATGCATTGTTTCAGTGGTATTATGCCTATCTCTGCAAATGGGTTACACATTACATCGGAAAACTAGATTTTGGTTCAAGGAAAGAAATCTTTTATTTAATATAGCTGAATTTTTGTTCTACGAAACAAATCTTTTATTGAAATGCATTGTTTCAATGTGTTATGGCCATATCTGTAAATGAGTTCCACATTACATGGGAAATCTAGATTCTGGTTGGGGGAAAGGAGCCTTTTATCTTATATAACTGAATTTTTGTCCTGGGAAAGAAATCTTTATTCAATATAGAAGTGTGTTTTGGTTTATCGGTTTGTACGTCTCTTTGATTTAACAAGTTAATGCAAAAAGTTGGAAGTAATAGGTAGTATGGATTCATACACATAATTCTCATCACGCATCTGGTTAGACATCATGGTCGACCAGCCTGGGGACAAAGATGTGTAGTAGTGTTCGCCTCTCAGTAATGAACCAACCAAACAGTTCTCCTTCTGTTATACACGGCTTTCTTACCCCCAATACATTTTAGGTGCTGTTTGGTTCAGACGTTGGTAACGTGATTTGTTTACGGAGGGTAACAGATCCCATTGCATGGTGTTTGTTTTAGGCATTGTGTAACCGGATCACACCGTTATCTGATACGGCCCTTCACAAAAGCGATACCGCTGCCATCGCGACGCTATCCGATATCTGAGGTGAATAAAGGAAATTATCGTTCACTAACCTGGACACTGCGGCTCCGCTTGTTGTTTGCTCGCGCGGTCGTGTCTCGTGAGGTGAATAAAGGAAGCACAAAACGACAAGCAGGCAAGCACGAAATGACAAGATGCATGCACTGCTTCTTTTCTGTGTTGAGTTACCGGAGATATAACCAAACAAATCAAGGAACTGCTTACCATGTTTACGTTACCGCTGTTTATCCGATCCCTTTACGTTTTGCGTTTTAGTGTTTCAGTTTGCATATGTGATTTGGGTGCCACCACTTCCGGTGGTAATATGGAGTTTCTGCTGCTGCGCCCAGCATTCTCTTAAATATCCGTGCAGTGACTACGTTGGATTCTCTGCTCTTTTGCCCGCCTGCAGTGCCTGCTAACTGATCTGTCCATCCATCGTTCAGGTTCGCCTCTTCCTTGCTTATTCTGTTTTTTGTCGTTACTCAATTATTTGTTGAACTGTTTACTTAGTTTCGTCCTTATATTAATGAAAATGGTGTTTACTTCCCTGTTTTTACAGATTCCAGATGAATGTTCTCTAATGCTATTCATATATTTTCCTGAGCTGTTTGCATACGTCCATCTATTGTCAGCCATTTGTGTTTTTATAGTACTGTGCTACTTCAATTTGGTTTTGATGTTCCCAGCCTTATTTTCACTGCTTCAGATGCTTAGCTCTCTGTTTACTTCCATGCCTCCGAGATAGCAACTTTGTTCTTATGATCCTATATTATCCAGATATTTTCAGGGTTCAAAATTAGCCTGTGTTTGCAACATGTGCCTTGCCACAGTCCTTATCCAGGAAGTGTTATAGTTCCACGAAGCAAATTCCTGGCCTTTCCATTGTATGACATATCTATTCAGTGCTAAACTTATGTGATCGCTCCATGTAATGTATGTACACATTCTCCTTTTAATGTACTGTCAAATATGCATAATTAATGTGTTCTGGCCCATGTAAAAGGAACTGAAGTATTTCAGTTTCTTTGTATGACAGACATATATCTAAATTAAACTCCTCTCCCTGACCTGTTTCCATACAAAGATTCGACATATTTTTTCCCCATGAATTCTTACTAGCTAATTCACGCGCGCAACGTGCTAGTCGCCATACAATTCAGTGAAGCTGGGCAGCTAGCTGCCGCCTGCCGGCCTTCTTCTGCCCCTCACCATCTGCCCTCGTGGGTGCAGGCTGCGCGACCCGACTGCGGCCCCCCTGCGGCCTTGCCGTCAGCAAGAAAGCGGCCATTTGCTGCTGCCGCATCCGGCAAGGGGGCACCCTACTCCGCGGCCCCTCCCCAGTGCCCCACCGCCCACCGGCCATCCGGCGAGCGTCGCCACGGGACCCCTCTGCGGGCTCTGCCGCATCTGCGCGTCGGATCACCACGGACGCACAGTACTCCTAGTCCTGCACGAACGAGGCGTCAAGAAACAATGCACGGCGCGCGTCGTCGAGTGGAGCTTTTGCTGTCGCCGTCGGCGTGTCGCGACTCGCGGCGAGCACGAGAGTCCAGAGCACGCACGATCGGGCGGACGAGGCCAGCAACGGGACGACAGCAGCCCAAGTGACGTGTAGGTACGAAAATAGTAGACGGAAACGGACGAAACCCTCTTAATAATCGTTTTTAATTTCCGTAGTCACCTAAAATGAAAACAGGACTAACCTGGGATAACCAACCATCTCGTCTCGCTTTCCATCGCAGTTTAGGATTTTCGGTAATAAATACGAAAATAACAGGATCGATATCGAGAACAGAGGGGCCAAAAAACATTTTTAACGCAGAAGGGGCCGGAAATTACCCCGTCCGTTTTCATCGCTTGTTGCGTGGGTTACTGACGAGGCGGCCCGCCTCCGAGAGATGCTTTGCTTTGCTGTACTGTTCCTGTACGTGATGGACGTGGAGTGGGGGTGAATGGGTGATGGACTGACAAACTGACCGTGGAAGGAGTACAATCAACGGAGAGCCTTGGCCCCACGTGTCACCGGTCTGATGATCCGATCGGCCCCGCTTTGCTTTGACCTGCCCCCCTCCTTTGGGTGTTGGTTAACCTTACTAAAATTTAGTCCACGTGGAATAGAATGTTTCACACTAATTTAGAGTATTAAATGTAGATTAATTATAAAACTTATTACATAAATTAAGACTAATTTAAAAGCGATAAATCTATTAAACCTAATTAGACTCATGTTTAGTCTTTCTAATTACATCGGATGTTTGGACACATGCATGGAGTATTAAATATAGACTTAAAAAATAACTAATTACACAGATTACGACTAATTTACGAGACGATTTTTTAAGCCTAATTAGTCCATGATTTGACAATGTGGTATTACCGTAAACAAGTACTAATTATAAATTAATTAGGCTTAATAAATTAATCTCGTGAATTACGAGGACTACGATAATTTATTTTATTATTACTTTCGTCGAAGAGTCCCACGTCCTCGACTTAACCTTCCACATCTACTAACCTTGGATCCTCGGCGATCTCGCCAGCCGTCTCGCTGCGCTACCGCAGTACCGCTGCCTGCTTTCACCTTCACCGCAGCTTTTCATCTCAGCCTCGGGAAGCGCGGTAACTCTACTAGTACTCCACGGGCATCGGGCAGTACCATGGCTCGACTAGTTAAAACGTTAATTGGACGGTCCTTGTCTTTGGAGTTTGGAGTGCTCGGACGACGGGCTGCTGGCGCCGTCGTGGTGACAAAAAGTCCTCGCCCTCTCCTCGGCGCACATGCCCCTCGTGGTCGTGGTTTTCGAAGCACCCACCCGGGCCACTCGCCACTCCCTTCTGCTGCTTCTGCACGGGCCTCGGGCTGCTCCTCACTCTACTCTGAAACCCCGTAACCCTGTGCCATACACTGTATGATACCAGCAGTGGAGTACGTACGTGTCACGGCAAATTGTAGGCAGCGCTCCTCCACACGAGGCTTGTTGGCAGCGCCATTTCATTCAGATCTGAAATGTGAAATCTGCATGCTGCAACAGGGCAGGGGCCTCGGCAGCGGCGCGGCGCGATCAGATCGCCAACTGGGCGGGCGGGCGGGCGTTCGTCTGGAACTGAACGGGCCGATCCATCCCATTTGGAAAGGTTATCTCGGCGGCGTCCGGCCACGGCTCATGAGCGATTGGCGTGACGCGCGCATGTGCTTTGAGCCTTTTTTGGTTCGGGGAAAGCGGGCAGGGCACAAAAGCCTGCGACCGCGTGGGGCATTTGGACGTACTACTACCACTGGTACGCGTCTCGTCAGAATCTAGAACAGTGCCTCTGGATTTACCGCGGGCCCTGGCCCTGTGTCAGTCGCTGTGTGGATCGCCAATTCACCAGCGCCAAGCCTCTCTCTCCGTCCATGTGATCCTCCCTCCGCTTATTACTGTTACCGTGACCAACTGGAATTCGAGGCGCAGTCTTTTTGAGTTTTGACCCAGCGCAGCAGCGTGTCTCGGCGATGTTGATAGACGAGGGGTGATCTGGTTCCTCAGAACTTGAGATGATCACGTCCGCGATCCGTCGCAGTCTCACGCGCGCACACAGCTACATATCTGGTGCTTATTGTAGAAAATTGGAGGCCCGCCACGGCCAGTATTCCACGGTCGACGCTGCCGCAAGCCCAACCCCAGAGGTCTTACTGTACGGTACTACAGTCATTGGCCGCAGTAACTGTGTTTGACAGTGGTTGTCCCTGGATATACTGATGGAACTGTGGCCGCTGAGATGTGCATGGGCGCATGGCGGGTAAATGAGCGGTTACTGTCATTCAGAGCCAATCATCAGCGCTGGATTTGCCAACGGAACACCGGGGCCTTGCTCAGATTTATCGATGTAAATTAACAATATATATGAAGATTTCTTTCAGATTTGACAAATTATCAGTCAATCATGATCTTTTTAGGCTCAAAAGATTTATAAGCCATTTAAAACGATCAAGATGCAAGCGGCGTGTTAAGTCTTGTCAAAGCAGCAGGCTCTGCACAGTACTGCAACGGTGCAGTGATTTTGCATCTTGTGCTCCGGCTGAAACGATCAT